TGGGAGGCGGGGGGGGGGGGGGGGGGGTCCTGGTCATGGGGCCTAAACTCTGGGCCTGGGTGCTGTCCCTGAGCTCTTCAGCTCAAGGCTAGCGCTCAACCACTTGACCCACAGCGCCACTTCCAGCTTTTTTCTTTTTGCTTATGTGGTGCTGAGGAACCGAACCCAGGGCCTCAGGCATGCAAGGCAAGCACTCTACCACTGAGCCACCTTCCCAGCCCCTGAGCTAGAGTTCTTAATGCCAGGATTTAGTTTGCTTACCTTTGACTTTACAATTATTAAGCTCTGCCTGATTGATCTGTCCCTTTTTGTTTCCCAAAGTTGTTAGTTCTAGTACACAATTCTATAAAATTTTTAAAAAGCAGGGGCATATATATATGCATATATATACATATATACACCAACTTATTTGACTACAAAGTCAAAGCCACTCTTAGAAAATTCTTTAAGACCCACGAGTGAAGAATGACAGTCTTATGGTTAAAGCCCATGGAGTTCTTCCGCTCGTCTAAGGTCATGCTGCAGCTGGCTAGCATGAAGACTGCCTTTCACACATCTATGGGCACACAGCACAGTGCAGGGAGATGTCCAACAGACTCACAGAACCGCAGGATGTGTATTTCACTACAGTAAAAGCAGTAATGACCTCAAATGACACATGGATAACAGACTTATACCTCACAAAGGAGGATAGTACATACATAAAAAGTTGTTCAACCTTATTATCATAAAGTTGCTCAACTTTATTATCATAAAAATAAGGCAAATCAAAACCAAATTAAGATTAAAAGAGACTTAACAATGCTAATAGTTGACAAAGACATAGGGCATACTGATGGTTGGGAGGGCAAATTCAGGTATAATCACAAGGACATTTTAACAATACCTACTGAAATTGAACACACACAAACCTTACAGCTCAGAAATTCTGGTAATAATTATCTATAGCTGCAACAGAAAGGCTATATGTATATTAAAAGAATTGTACAAGATATCCATAGTTCCATTTTATTACAGCCAAAGATGCTAAAAACAGCCCAAATACCCAGCAATGGAAGATGAATCAATTCAGACGATCTAACATTACACAAGCAGGTAACACATCCTGCTATACAGAACACACAATTTACACAAATACAATGTTAAGTCAAGAGACAAAAGAATATGTACTGATGTAAAATTCCAGAGTGGCAAATTCTAATATTAGAATTCAGGAGTGGTTACCTGAGAGAGGAGGTAGAGGGCTGATTTCAGATCTGGGGAAGAAGCTATTCATTTTAATAGTGTTTGTGAGTGTGTCCAGGTATCAAACGTAAGGACATACTTCACAAAGGTTAGTTCCTCTTTCCTTTGTTGTTGTTTTTATGCCTGTTCCAAGGCTTGAGGCTCAGTACCCTGAATTTTTTTTAATTTTTATTTTTGCTGTTGCAGGTTCTGGGGCTTGAACTCAAGGCCTAGGTGCTGTCCCTAAGCCTCTTTGTGCTCAAGGCTAGCACTTTACCACTTGAGCTACAGCACCACTTCTTTTTCTGAGTAGTTTATTGTAGTCTCACAGACATTTCTGCCCAGGCTAGCTTTGACCCTTGATCCTTAGATCTGTTTCCTGAGTAGCTAGGATTATAGGTATAAGCCACCAGTGCCAGGCTTTTAACTTACTCTATTTGCTCATGGGTTGGGCCATGTCTCCAGTCTGGCTTTTTTGCTGGTTAACTAGAGTTTCTTGCACTTTTCTGCATGGGCTGCTTTCTAACCTCAGTCCTTAAATCTCAGCCTGGGTAGCTAGGATCACAGTTGTAAGCACAACTTGCTTTTAATTCTCAAAATGAGTTCCCTTTAAGAATTTAGAGGACTGCCATCTGTAAAATTTTGAAACTTCTTGATGGTTTGTCTTGCCAATTTTATTATTTTACCTCTTTGTGCGTGTATGCTACCATGAAGTTTGAATTTGGGGCCTGGTCTGGATACTGTCCTTGAGCTTTTCTGCCTAAGGACAGCACTCAGGATAATAAATGCAGTTAAAAAATTACCTTTTTCTTTTGTAAGAACATAGCCATTTTGGAAGATAGATTAGCAGATTTTTTTTTTTTCAGTGAAACAAACCATAACTCTTTAGGTCTAACATCTAGTAATCCACCTGTTATTTGCCTGAAGAGTTCAAACCAGTCCACACAAAGTCCTACATGCAGAGATTTAAGGCAGCTTTATTTATTCATAATTGCCAAAATGTAGAACCAACCATGATATCCATCAGGAGGTAAATAGGAATGTATTATACGCGCACAATATATCCATTTGTGCTATGAGACATGAACCATCCAGCTATGCAAAGTCACTAAGCAGAAGCCACTCTGGAAAGTAAAGGATTACCAGTTGCCAGAGAGTTGGGCTTCGAGTGGGCTTGAACAGGGAAGAAATTTTCAGGGCATTGAAAATACCCCATGATATTGTAATGATGAATGTGCCATTTGACATACACACAAACCCATGTACTACACAACCTCTAAGGTGAATCTCACGCTACTGACTCTGGGTGACTGTGAGTGCCAATGATGCTCATCAATTATAACAAGGGAACGATGTTGTTGGGTGGGGTTGATAATGGGTAATGGTGTGTATTTGTGGAGACAAGCAACAAAGGGAAAAAATAATCTCTTACCCTCCTCTATTTTACTGTGAACCTAAAAATACCCTAAAATAATGATGTCTTAAGGGAAAAAAAAGGCTATTTATGGAGGTCAAGAGTATAAATTAGAGTCAACACTACAGCGGGCTCATGAACAGGCCTCTGCTTCCTGCCCATCCCTTTATCTCCTAGCACCCTGAGTTCTCTGACCTTGCTGTTAGCACCACTAGTATATCTGAATGTTACAATTCCCATAGAAAATGGTATACTATATTTCTATTCTACAAGAACTTTTGGCAGTCACTAAACCAACTAAGACGAAAAAGGAATATGGGTCTTTGTAATACATTATTAATAAAGTTAGTATTTGAAAATCACTATAAAGCATTAGGAAATAGCCAAAGTATTGTTTATTTATGACATATTTACATACTTACAAAACTGACGATCCAATGTCATTCTGCATAATATCACTAAATGAATACCATATCCTGGGAGTAAATATCCCCATTTCTTAATAATTTATACAACCCAACAACTTTGAAAACACAGCATGTTATCAATTTGGCATCACAAATCATGAAGTCCTATTTAGAACTGTTTCTAGCCAAGAAACAGAGAAAATTGAACATGTTAAGTAGTTCAGTTGACCCTGAGTATTGATACTTTGCATAAGTGAATAATACACATTAAACATGGTCATCTGCACCTTTTTATACTTCTACTTACTATCATACGATCTTTGTTTCTACCAAGCAACTGACCAAGAATGAAAAGGCAAGATGACAAGAGAATCACAAGACTAAACCATCAGCTTTTCATAACTTCTCAAGCCTGAGAAGCTTCCGAACTGCCGGAAACTTAACAAGGGGCAAGGGTAGGGCTTAGTCCTATAGCATTGTCCTTGGCATGTATGACACCTTGGGTTCAAAATCCAGCCCTGTAACAACCAACAACAAAAAAGTGACTATAAGGATTCTTAAAACTGATCATCTGAAGCTGCTGCTTTATCACTTTTCTTCCATTTTTCCTGAGAGTTCTTCCCATACTAATTATGTTTACAGTCTTAAAATTCAGTGATTGGGAATAAAATTTACATAATGTAAAATGCAATCATTTATAGCTCTTCATTTCACAAAACCACTAGAACATGGTAACAAACCGGGTTTAAGACAAGTTTCCCTAAATAGCTTGAGAAAGAACAAGAGCAAAACGACAGCCATCCATCTATACCCCCTGCCAAAACAAACATATAGAGAGAGAGGGGGGAGAGAGAGAGAGGTGAGAGAGAGAGAGAGAGAGAGAGAGAGAGAGAAAGGGAGATACCAGTATGAGAATGACATGGAAATGAGCAGAGAGGACAGAGGAGTTCCAGAGGGCTGGTAAGGGAGACCATGGACTGAAGATATGCTCAGTAACTGGATATACTCAATGTTTAAATACCATCACCAAGACTGTCTGGCTAAGTCACCCTGGTGTAAGACTACATTGTATTTCCTGTTCCTGGTATAATAGAGGAATCTCAGGATGACCAAATGAAAGGTTAGGAAAGCTAAGTGTGGAGTCAGTCAAGCTCTGAGGTCTTTCAAAGAGAACCTTGGACCAAAAAAGAAATCAGGCAGATTAGATCAAGCGTCTCACTTTCCCACATATGCTGCTCCAAAGAGCAGAGGTTAGACAGTTACTGCAGGCAGGAAAATACCCACTTCAACCAAGCCATGGCAGAGCTCTGCCACCGCTCTGTGGGGATTTGAAGAAAAGCATCACTCAGTGAGAGATAATGTTCACTGTGACTCTGTGAGAAAAACCCGCACAAAAGTCAAGTAAGATACTGAAGACTTGGTTAAACAAAAAAGAATCTATAAAATCTCCCTGTAAAAGTGGGCATACTTCTTGATCTCAGTCTGAATTTCTGCATCTGGCCAATGCCCTGATAGCTTTTAAAAGCAAAAGACAGAGGTGAATGGGAGAAGAGGATTCCGCTTTCTTAACACATAAGAAGGAATAAAAACATCTAGCTCTAGTATCCCAGGACAAAGGACAACATAGCAACTGGACGCAGCTTTTTCCCAGTACTTCCAATGACAGGAGTTTAAATGCCACCAGACAATCGGGATACAGTGCTTGGAAGCATTTAATTCTTTTCATTCTCAGTTAAAACTAGCATAAATGAAATAATTACTTGAAAACACTAATACAAAGCAAACCTTACACGTCAAGACAGCCCAGGATAAGAGCTTTAATGCTTTTATAAAACTGCCAGAGAATGTGCTAATTTGTTTACCTCTATATAACTGTAGAGGAGAGTAAATAAAAATTAAATTACATTTAGATATGAAATTATTTTCAGAAAGTCATTTGAATTTACATAGAGCTCAACTGTATAAGAAAGAACATTTAATTAATTTTGAGTCCAAATTAAGTCCAAAAGTGGTAAAATATATTATTTGAGGGAAGAAATAGCTATCATTCAGTACAAACATAATAGATCAAATAAACCAGATTCAATATAAAAGTTTCTTTGAAAAACATCCATAAAAAATAAAGACAGAACAGCACAAAGTTAGAAAAGTGGTATCTTGAGTCAAACTTAAAAGCAATCCTAACTAAAAGAGGCACAGCAACAAGGTAACCCCTCTTCTGTTCTTTGGAGAACATGAGTGGCAGCAGCTGGGAGTTTTTCTTGGAAGTACCGAATAGTGTTATACAAAAATAACATGAATACTTCTGATCTAAAATACACGGGACTATTTATCCTTTGTGACACAGCAACGAGAAAAATAATGTCTAACTCCAATGTTTGCAGTAGAAATCTGTAAACTAGAAAAATTATTTTTACAAAAGGAACAGGTATACTTTTCTAGGTAATACAAGCACATGATGATGACCAGAGAGAAATGATTGATTTTTGTCATTCTGGCTCACTGTGTAAAAGGCACACAGAAATGTACATGTCTACAGGTAGGTGTCTTAGGGTCAATTCTTGAGCATACTGTTCAGCAAAATAATCTAGTATGCATCATTAAATTAAATGTTTACATAGCAAGTTCCATTTAATAAATCCAGTATATTAAAAATTGTGTCATAAATATACCTGCATATTTTTGAGGAACTATGTAAAATTATGATTGTAAAAAGGATCTCTTTTCTTTTCTCTGAAGGAATGACACCAAACCCTTACAGAAAAAGTAATAATAATAATGCAGCCTACAGGAAACCTCTAAAGCCTTCCAGATTCACTGAAGCTGTTTAGCTGAGGAAGATAACGTATCTTCTTTACATGAAGCTGAAAGCAAGGGCAGTCTTGGCCGTCAATGAGGCCATCTCTCAGGCGGTTCTGGGTGGTAGGCGCTGCTTGTACATGCCAGCGATGGCTTTGGCTGCACTGTAGATCATCTGTCGGCGAGACATGCCAGTGAACGCCAAGTGCCAATCAGTCCGACTGACATTTACCAAACTCTTCTCCAGGACTTCGCCCACTGTCACCAAAAGGCCTGACCACCTTAGATTATAGTCCTGGGGAGTGAGACTTTGAGCCTATGGAAAACATAAATCCATGTTACTTATAATACTTACTTATAAGCACAAACTCTGCTACAAATAACCTCTCAAAATCTTTTTTTTTTGGGTCCGGTCGTGGGGCCTGAACTCTGGGCCTGGGCGCTGTCCCTCAGTTCTTCCGCTCAAGGCTGGCGCTCTACCACTTGAGCCACAGTGCCATTTCCAGCTTTTTTCTTTTTGCTTATGTGGTGCTGAGGAATCAAACCCAGGGCCTCCGGCATGCAAGGCAAGCGCTCTACCACTGAGCCACCTTGCCAGCCCTAACCTCTCAAAAATCTTGACTCTGCTTACTTTTAACATAGATTGTGACAACCCTGGGAAGTACCACTCTGCTGCTTCAGAAGAGCCAAAGTAATGTTGTACGTCTACTTTGCTAAAAATAAAAACATAATGTCATTCTGTTGGTGGTGGTGGTGGCATCTGCGCGTATGCTCCTGAGGAGTGAGAACAGAACTTTACAGATGTCCAAGGCTTTAACAGCCATCTACTCAGAGCTCAGTCAGAAGGCTTCATTCTAGTTTCATATTTAGAGTCATTTCAAGTTTGTTAATAGGTTAGTGCTAAAATTATCATTATACTTCAAAGAAAAACCAGACAGCTTCCTAAGATCTTTGGACTGAAATGAAAATGCTTCTCGCCCTGCCACATGCTCACCAAGCCCCTGCAAGGCCTGTTAAAATGAACCACCCGATTCCAAAACTTGGGCAGAGCCTGAGAGGCTGTTTTTTAAATCAAATTATCAGGTAACAGTTATGATGCTAGGCCAAGAATGGGGTGACACTGATCAGGATATATTGCATTCATAAACTGCTTTGGCAAGTGCAACTCCTCTGTACAACTTACAGATAATAAAAAATTACCTTTAAAGATCCACAGGACCTGAGTTTTTATTGAGGAAGGAGGAATCATTTTTATTTAATAAGAAAAAAAAAAATCACACAAAATTGTGTTCTACATTTTCACTACCATACATTCTAATGATAATTTGATTTCTCAAAGGACTAATTTCTATTCTATTAAATTATTAAATCCCAACAGCAAAGCAGTAGAGATATAAAACATAAAAGAAACATGGGGAAAAAATGAATAGATAAAAATAAAAGGTGGGTATTTCAATGCACTTAATTCTTTATCTTTTCAACTTTGAAACCACATGTGGAAAAAAAACAAAAACATAAAAAAAAAAATTTTTAAAAGAAAGCAAGTCCTGGGCATCGGTGGCTTACACCTGCAATCCTAGCTAACTCATGAGGCTAAGTCCTTGTGAGACTCTATTATCTCCAATTAACCACTCAAAAACTAGCTGTGGTTAAAATAGTAGAGCCCTAGCCTTGATCAAAAGAGCTCAGGGAAAGGGCCTAGGCTCCACAACCACCACCAACAAAGAAACCAAATGATAACCTTTGAGTAACACTATTCAAGTAATCCTATTCATGAGTCAATGTGCATCTTTCCGGGCATTTTCCTTCTCATTTGTAGATATTTCAGAGCATACACATCTCCCTGCTATCACTGGGATCGTATTCAATGTGCTGTTCTTGACATGTACTTTGCAAGATACCCTTAGGTATTAATATATATAAAAACACATTTGGTTCCTTGAATATCATGTCTGTTTCTTACCAATATATGGCTCTGAAAATCAAATACAAATTATCCCTCTGCAATTATCAGACACCAAGCACAGGGGTGAGTAAACTTTTTGGAAAAAGGCTAAAGAGTAAATATGTTAGGTTTAGGTGTTGATCTTTACTACAACTAATCAATTACATTATTGCAGCACAGTTGCTACTATTAATTATAAATGTATGCAGAATGGCAGCTGTATCCCAATTAAGCTTACTTACAAAAACAGGTAGTAGGGTAGTCGATTTGGCTGTGGGCCACTGTGCACTGACCCCTAATCTACAGCAATATTAACAATGGCAGTGACAGGAGTACCCTCATATCACAAGTTATCTAAGGGGCACTTGGATTACCTAGCCCATACATACGTGCGTATACTTCTAAACCAAATTAGCTATGATTATTTTATACTATTGCATAGTATTTCTAGCAAATGCCCTCAACTCTCCTGAAATTCTTTATATTTCTTTAATGTCAATATGCTAAATCACATATCTGGTTTACTACTGGCGATCCACTCTGCTTCTTGAGCCAAATCTGCTTGGTAAGGATATAATGCTCTTCTAGTGTATTTCTGAACTTTATTAATTTCACCCATGATTTTTACACTTAGTTCCTAATATAGACTGAAATAGTTTTATTGTGAAGAGACACAATCTCATGGAATTAATTGAAAAACTGTCTACCTCTATTTTTGGTACTTTATACACCATGAGAAGCAAGTTTCCACTGAATGCCTTATAGATCGCACTTATGCACGATTAGAACACAATGGTTTTTTTTGTTTTTGACTAGATGGGAGTTCTTCACTATAATGTTTCCTGGGTAATTAGCTAACATCATAGAAAATTTACAGTATTTTGACTGATTCATCTTAATATTTTGAATCAATGATAAAAATCCATATTTTCCCAGAAAAATCTACCATTTTATCTGTTTTACAAGAAACAGATAAAATGAACCGTATGAATAGTATTTAACTACAATCTTTTAATCATTTTCTCATTGAGTGAATCTAATGTTAACATCTATAAAGATTTTTTGAACTTCTAAGAGGAAATTACAATATAAGTTTCAGTAAAGTTCAAAATATAAGCATTAATTGTAATTCATTTTCTAGACTGCAAACCTTAAAAGGGCCACTTGGATGCTTTCAGCAATTTTATGAACACATATGCCAATTTATATGTAACTATAGGGACGACAAAACACAAGAGCTTTGTCAGATTATTTAAATCCATAAGTCACAAATAATGTTACTACAAAGATTTCAGCTAGTTTATATATGTATATACATGTATATACATATATATAGTACAAGTATATATATATATATATATATATATAAAATAATAGTCCAAATTATGTAGATAGATTTTACTAGAGAACTAAAGAAAATTTTATATAAAAATAGAGGAATAAGAATCATTGTTTTCAATTACATTTTTGGAACTGTACACTAGATTTCTTTTTAAGTCAACAAATCTAGAGATGTGTACCTATTGTTCAAGTTTCAAATAATGGCTTGTTCTGAAGATGAACAACTAAAAAGGATGATCAGATGACACAAAAAGCGAAGTAAGAGAGGGTTCCAATGGAAATAAAGACAGGAGATGAAGGGGAAAGTATATGAAAAGTATACTGAAAACAGGCAGAAAAGGCAAATCTTCTGACCTCAAGGGGGGAATATAATCCTAACAACAACTAAAAAAAAAAAATGAAGAAAGTAACAATTACCCATGTAGTATATTATTTGCCCAAAGAAATCTGGAAAACAAAAACAAAGAAGAACTGAAACATTCAAGGAAGCAAAGAAAAGGCCAAATGAGAAAAGGGCCACACAAAATCGGGAATATATTCTTAACAAAAATCCTAACACAACTTTTACTGAGAATACTGCAGGTTTCCCTGGGATATAATGCAGGTGCAAAGGAGGAGACTAACCTGCTGCACAAACTCCAAAGGCACTGGTGTGGCTTGAGTAAAAGTTTCCAGACGAATACCATGCACAGGGTCTTCAACCACCAAACACCCAATGTCAAACCACCTGCAACATAATACATGAGTTTCAGGTTGCTACATGTTAAATGAAAGTTATAGTGAATAACCGAGAAGGAAAATCAGATAAAACAAGCAAATTTCAAGAAGGAAATGCTTTCCTAATTAATTTTCAGGAGGACAATTTATAAAAAATATTATATTATTGTCTTAATTCCAAGATGAAAAAACTAATAAGGACTAATAACAGAAAACCTAATTTCATGCTACTTATCAGGAAGTATCCTTGTTGCTAAGAGGGGAGAATGATAAAATCAGGGTATTCAAATACTCAACAAACTGTTGTACAGGAGAACATGAAAAGCTTATTCATGAGTAATTTTTTTTAGTTATCTTTAAGTAGTTGGACAAAGGAGTTGCCATTGAATAAAAGCTTGTAAATACAATGCATCTTGATCAATGTCGCCCCTTTCAACACTCTCTTCTAACCCTCTTTTCCCTTATTTTTTTTTACTTTTATAGGATATACACTAAATTTTTGATTGAATTCTCTTCTCCACCCCTTCTCCTGGGCTCTGTCCCACAGCTGTTTTTTGCTCAAGGTAGCACTCTACCACTTGAACAACAGTGCTACCACCACAGCTCTTTTGGTAGTTAATTGGAGGTGAGTCTCACAGACTTGCCTGCCCAGGGTGGCATGAACCACAATCCTAGCTAGGATTCCACAATCCTAGCTCCTCTTGAGGAGCTAAGATTACAGACATGAGCCACTGGAGTCCAGCTATGATTTTTTAGCAAATGTCATATGAAATTTTTCCCCACTTGATCAACTATGGAAATTTCTATCACTAAACCTATTACTAACATGCAGATATCTAGCAATGTTCCTAGGACATTTTAAAATAAGCTTATTGAAAGTATTCACAAGTTATCCTCATAATTAGTCCTTCAAATTGTTCTGAATTGTTCACCAGGATTCTCAGGTTTCAAAAACAGTCTCATGAAATAAAAAGAAAATTTCTATTTTAAACCATTAATAAATTAGTAACAGTAAGACAATTTTAAATTTACGTAAGACAACAGTAGCAACTCTGTATTTTAGAGACCAGAATTAGCCCTAAACTCATGAATATAAACAATGAGAGCATATGGAACAGGAAAATGTTCGATGCTTTTACTATTAAAGAAAACATAAAATGGGTTACAAGACTCTTATTTACTAATTTTAAAAACCAGTAAAATACAGAGTAGCACAAGAACTCTGCCACATATAAAAATGGCAGTTTTCAATAGAAACATTGAACAAGTTTTCCTCCACCAGGAATTTCCTATATATATTTCTACATCTTCTCATGTCTGACTTTGTCTACAAAATCCAGTTCGATCTGTAACTGTTCATGAATTTCTTGGGAATTACCTCCATCCACACTGGGTTATCACCCCTGAAATTTCCTTTCAAGTTTGTTTATCCAGTGGCTCCAGTGGCTCACATCTGTAATCCCAGCTACTCAAAAGACTGAGATCTGAGGACTGTGGTTCGAAGCCAGCCAGAGCAGGCAAGCAAGTCTGTGAGACTCTGATATCCAACTAGCTACCAAAGGAGCTGGAGGTAGAGCTGTGGCTCAAGTGGTAGAGTGCTAGCCTTGAGCAAAAAGCAGCTCTGGGACAAAGCCCAGGCCCTGATTCAAGCCCTATGACCAAAAAAAAAATTTTTTTTAAATATATATACATACACGTACATATATATATATATATATCTATATATATAGATATATAGATATATATACACACCTGTATATGTATACATAACCTTTTAAGTAATTCTTTCAAGTTGTTCTTCTGTACCTATAATATACCCTGAAAGTTAGAAGAATTTTTTTCCAGACACATTGTCACTCAATACTGAAATAAAAAATAATAAAGGACAAAAAAACAAAAATAAAACCATGAAAAAAAGTAGGTACATTTGAACAAAGAGAAATTATTTTAATATAAAACAACTCAGCATAACCAAAAAGTTTCTCCCATTAAAAAATCATCTATAAAAATACAGAGCCCTCAAAAATAATGGAAGTTTTCTAAACATCTAAGAGAGTGCTCAGTAGAAGCATAGTGACTGCTACCAAGACTTTCGTGTCCATTACAATACATAACTGTGTCAGGTACAATTGCTATCCATGCTCAACAATATCTCAGCCAATAACACACCATAATATCACTTTGTATCTAAAGCTATTACATTAAGTGGCTGTAGAATCTGTAGAAAGCAGACATTACTATCTCCATTTTGGTAATGGGAGCACCAGTATCAGAAGGAACTGTCTCACTGTTTCTAAAATAGGAGGTATTTTTTGCTAGGCTGGCTCACTTTTGTTTTGCTTCAAAAAAGAAACAACAAGCCTCTTACTTGTCAGGCAGCAACTCTGCAATGAAATTTTCCACCGACACAGCAGTCTGCTTGGCATGGATCACTCCAGTTCGGCGCAAGCTATCAATGCGCTCCTGGGCACCCTAAACAATAAAGACGTAGGTTAAAAACCTTGTTTCTAAAATACTAAACATACTAATATACAATTATACAAATAATACACTCATGCTTTCATATACACCAACATACTCTGTTCAAACAATACAAAAGCACATACAGTAAAAAATGAAAATGACCAATCACACCCTTTCCATTCCAAATGAATTTCTTATGTATACTCCCTTATGCATTACCACTTGCCAACTGCAACTGAAGTAGATAATCTGAAAAATCACATTTAAAAGAAAGTAACTCTTTGATAGTCATCTGACTAAATAAAAATCTTGCCAGTCATATTAGCAGTTTGTTTAATTGATTCTCTCCTGATTTTTTATATAGGCAATCACATAATCTTTTTATCTAATTCACACACATGTATGTATTTGTACATACACGTATATAGAAGAGACAACATTCCTAGACTCTATACTTCCAGGAAATAAGACTTTTTTTTTCTTTTACTATACTACAGCAGAGGACTTTATACTCATATCATAGAGCTGAGTGAGGCAACAAGTTCAAATTTTTCATTTTGTGCTTATAAAATCCAGAAAATAAAAAGGTTAGATATCATCTTTTTTTTAAACTCTATCACTTTAAGTGAGGGCTCCTTTACAGTTATAAAGATACTTTAATATATAAAGTATCTAAAATTGCTGTCTAATGTTAGTTCCTAGGAGTGTTTTAAGAATAGGATTTACTTTACCAGGCATCAAGACATAGCTGCATGGCTACTGAAATAATCATCTCTAAATGAACTATGAGGAAGAAGGCCATTAGAGCCCATTCAAGAGCTTATACTAACATCAAATATAGTGAAAGCGGGGGTTACACTGTGGGGGAGGGACATTGATGTCAGTATAACTTGTGGAGGAGATGGGGACAAACAAGTCGTTTAAGGATTCAGGTGGACCTGTTGCAACAATGAGAAGTACAAAATGTCATGTCAAAAACGAGCTTTACAATGTCGGTGGGGGGGGGGGAGGGGGGGGTATGATTGGGTGGGGGTGAGGGGGAGGCTGGGAAGGGAGGTGAAGGGTAAACAAAGGAGGAGGCTGCAATGCTTGGTAAGAAATGTATGCATTATCCTGCCCATGTAATTGTAACCCCTCTGTACAGTATGTTCTCAAATAAAATAAAATAAAATTTAAAAAAAAAAAAAAGAGCTTATACTAAATGACTTGGCTCAGATGAGAAATTAAGACCAGGAAGGGAAGTCCACAGACTCTTATCTCAAATTAACTACAAAAACAGTGGAGCTGTGGCTCAAGTGGAAGAGTGCTAGCCAGAGTTCCTGAAACAGTAACATTTTCAGTATTATTAACAATAATAATTTTTAAAAAATCTTCTGAGATTCAAAGGATGTTCCTAATTTCAGTAGTTGATTTGAATGTTAAAACTGGGTTAAGATCTTTGTTAGAATTACTCTTGCTTTTCTCGGGTTCTCTCCCTCAAAAATCAAAATCAACACTAAAAATTACTTTTGGATTGAACTCAGGCCTTTGCCTCTTGAGCTCCATCCCTTTTCTCCTTTGCTTTAGTTATTTTTTGACATAAGGTCTTGCAGTTTTGCCCAGGGCTGGAGTGGGCACATTCTATGATTCTTTCAACTACAGACCCCCACCATAGCAGATTACAGGTATGAATCATCATGCCCAACTGACTGACAGAGATAGGGATCTTACTTTCTGTCCAGGCTGATCCTGAACTACAATCCTCCCAGGTAACTGGAATTACAAGCAACAACCTAGTCTTTAGTTTCCTTTAAACTAAAAATCCACTGCAACTTTGTAATACTATGGAGGTAACGAAAAGCAATGCTGATCATTATTTTCATTGTATAAAAACACATTAGCCCCAGAGAGACCACAGGGTCATTACCACCATTATGAAAAGTTTAGGTGCCAGGTTCCATAGTCTGACAGAGTTCTGTTACTTACTTTCAGCCCAGCTGCATAGCCCACCGGCTGTGGAGCTATGTTGGACTGTCCAGCTTCCCCGACTACCACAGCTAAGCCGAAGACCTCCTGGAAAGCATCACGCACAGCAGCCACTTTGACTTCTTTATTTGATGTCACTACAATGTCCAGCTCACCCCCAGACTCTATAAAGGCCAAAAGAAGTTTCAATTCCAAATTGAAATAGTAAAATTCTCACAATTACAGTAACAACATTTCATTTACATAAACATTACCAAACTCATAAAACCAGGTAAGATATAATGCATTATCTTTCTGGGGTTAGAGAAACAGGCTGAACAAGTCTGCACAATGCATCGGCTTTTCAGCATTAACATCAGGATTCAAACCAAGATCTGTCAGCAGTTGACCTAACAAGACCACCTTTTCAATCTACGCCCAAACGCTCCAACCTTCCCCCTTTTCCTGAGTTTTACAACTGCTGAATTTGTAACATGTTATCTGAAGAAGTTTTACCTGCAGCAGAAAATGGAACATACCTTAAAAGAGTTCTGAGTATTAACTAGAACACATTTTTCAGCATTCTATAAAATGTTCACAATTGGTGGTTCTGAGAGAAGAATTTTGTAGTGAACTACCATATTTATATTTCTTGGAAACTCACAGTATACATTAATATATCAGTATTTGAAAATCAAATAATTAAAATTAGTAACCCTAACTCAATTCTGTCCATACTTAATCCATTCATGAAACATTTTTTCAGTATCTAAAAATGGCTCCTAAAAGGAGATAGATTTAATTCTGGGAAACAATGGCAAAACCAATCATGAAAACAGCTTATTTCACTAAACTAATTAGCTTCTAATTAAGCTTATACTTTGCATGGACACATTTATTCCATTTTTAAGATTGTAAATAAAAAGTTTTCCTGCTGGGCTGGGAAGGTGGCTCAGTGGTAGAGCGCTTGCCTTGCATGCCTGAGGCCCTGGGTTCAATTCCTCAGCACCACATAAGCAGAAAGAAAAAAGCCGGAAGTGGCGCTGGTGCTCAAGTAGTAGAGCGCTAGCCTTGAGCTGAAGAGCTGAGGGACAGCGCCCAGGCCGAGTTCAGGCCCACGACCGACCAGACCTCCCTCCCCCCAAAAAAAAAGCTTTCCTGCTGTTGGTTAATAAGAACACATCTAACAGGGTGTTGGTGGCTCATGCCTGTAATCGTAGCTAATCAGGAGGCTGAGATCTGAGGATCATGGTTCAAAGCCAGCCCAGGCAGGAAAGTCCATGAGACTCTTTTCTCCATTAAACGTCACTGTAGCACAAAGTGGTAGAGAGCTAGCATTGAGCAACAGAGCTCGGGGACAGTGCCCAGGCCTTATGACACATCTACCATATACAACTCTCTAACACCATGTGGACACCAGTTTCCAGCCCTCTAGCTATAAAGCAATCATAGAAATTAAACATCTGGCTTGTGAACCACAGTTACACATTTGAGATTAAAATAAAGATTCTTATTGATAACACATCCCTTGTTAAGAGTAGTACAAAAATAATATACTAAACAAAAACTACCATGAAATCTTGAAAAAGATTCACTTTTTCTCTAGGAAATAGTTTAAGCAAGTGGGTCTTCCATCTTATACATTTTCACCATTTAAAAAGATACTATGCATAGCAGCTACAAATAACTGATATAACAGACTTTATGGAGAGCTCAAACAGTACAACTTTTTAGAAAGACTAAGTCAAAGCCTGACAAAATAAGCACCAGGACATGGCTACCTGCAAGAGGGTGGGGAGGGGAAGAAGGGGGAGAAAATGCAGCCAAGAATCCATTGCATTTATCACAAAATTAAAAGGGAAAGGTGGGAGAAAGGGAGGGTGAGAAGGTTGAAGAGGTGACCGGGATCAAGATGCACTGCATTCATAACTGCTTTGTTAAATGGCACTCCTCTGTACAACTACTTAAAGACAGTAAGAATGTTTTTAAGTTTACAATATAAAAGAGCCTATAGTACAAGTAGATATCTGTCAACCATACATATACTTCTGCCCTAACATCTGAAAAGTGTAAGCACATTAAAAAATGGACAAGTTTAATAGTGTATATTTTACTCATTCATCACTTCAAATACTTTAAACTTTCCCATTGCTTTTAAAACCTGTGTACTATCATTTATAAACAGGATAATTTAACAAAATATTCCATTATTTTCAAAATTTTTATCCTAACATTTTGTGAGAGGTTGAGTAATGCTTTTCATAAACACTTGACACTAGCGGTATTTTAGAACTCAGCTTTAGAATTATTTACTTATACAGAATGAGTTATCTTGGGATAGTATAAGCAAAAGCATTGCTTCAATGTCACCAGTAAATAAAGTGAAAGTCATATAAAGTAGCAGTAATATGTTTACAATTAAAATCAGTAATAGTTGTTCCTCTCAAGTTCATTCTGTAAAGTTTTTAAAACGTACTTAATGGGAAATAAGATAGAAACTAAGACAAATTTAAGTTAATACCAAAAACTAAGCCTGACAGTCATCTTTAGTGCAAAACATGAAGAGGAATGGCTGTCTGAGTAGTAGAAATGACCTGGGATCACAATGAGCACTGATGCTGACAGACACTGCTCTAACTTAGGTACATACTGATATATGGGGCCATGCCAGGGTCCAGCGTTGTAATCATGCTTTCAACTGAATGCTTCGTCTTATCAAGCACAGATTTCACCATAGGATTCCCAGCCACACCCTGCAAAGAACAAGAAAACATATAAATGCATACTCAACCAGAGAGCACTATGATCATTTTTTTAAAATTTTGAATGCATCCTAGACCAGTATCTTTAAAATGAAAATGCAGACAACTAGCGCTCCAATAAAGACTCCAAAATTCGATTTCTCAAAAAAATAAATTAACTAAAATGTAAGAAAAATAAAATCAGATCAGCATCAAAGATCAATGTCAAATTGCCATGAATGCTCTAACTTCTCTGCCTTTCATGCCACAGAGTACAGAGCAACAGTAGCCCACAATACACTTTAAGGAGCACTGGCAAAATATCATACTCTGTGTATATATGTACACACACACATTGTATGTAGGTATGTATTTCATTTGCAAATGTATTTATATACATGTATACTATATGCATTTCTTTTTTTTTTGGGGGGGGGCCCGGTCATGGGGCCTGAACTCTGGGCCTGGGCGCTGTGCCTCAGCTCTTCAGCTCAAAGCTAGTGCTCTACCACTTGAGCCACAGTGCCACTTCCGGCTTTTTTCTTTTTGCATAAGTGGTGCTGAGGAATTGAACCCATGACCTCAGATATTCAAGGCAAGCGCCACCTTCCTAGCCCCGATATATATACTTCATTTGCAAATGTATTTATGTACTTCCTATCTATGTATTTATCAAAAAAAACTAGATAAAACATGTTCCTTGGGGTTTCAAAAAAAGATTGTCAACAGATGCCCATAAGTCTTTTATTTTGTTCCTCAAAAGACAGAAATAGTAAACCTGTGTCATCTTTAGCCTCCAGAAACTGTCTCATTTCTTCAGTATGTTCCACTAAAGTTATCTCTTGTTTTGTTCATTCCCACACTCTTCCTTCTCAACTAAATCATTCTTAGAACTGCACCCTGAGCCACAGGAACCACACCTAAGGGTCGCCTCTTGAACTACACTTCTCCCAAGGTACAAGGGCATGGGGGAGCAGGGCCTCCTTCTATAGCATTCAAGGACAGCTTCTCTTCTTCCAATCTACAGGAACTACAGAGGTTCAAGACAACATGAGGGCATACAAATTAAATTTAAGACTGCTGACCAGCCTTATTCTAAAAAAATCTCTAAAGTTACAATTACAAGCCTGCAGAGTTGGCATAGCTATAACAACTGCTAACTGAGACATGCTCTTACGAACAAAGAAAAAGGTGCAGGCAGGCTTCATATATTAACAACTTGTAGAAACACAAAGACATAAAAGGCAAGTTCACAAAAATACCCTATGCCTGAAAGTTAAACTCGTATGATGTAAATAAATCAGCTAACCACTTAACCATTTTAAATGTGTTCCAAACGTAGTAAAACTAAATAACCCTGCAGCAGATTACAGGGAGGGTGACCACTGAGGAAAGTGGGAAAACCCAGCAGAGCACTCATCAAGCTTAAGGAACCAGTTACTAAGATACCTTCATGAATGCACACATGAATCACCATTTCTGTCTTATTACTGAATGATTTCATGCCCACTTCAGCACAGAACAGATTTTCAACACACACTTGGGTCATAAATGAGCCTAGAGTTACAAATAAGAGTATGTTCCCATTGCAAAGACAGGGAGAGAGCAATGGAATAGAACACCGAGAACAGACATTGACACTGGTGCTAACATACAATTTAGTAATTAAGAGAAAAGTAAATCTGAAGATATGACATGGAAATAATCCATTAGTTGGAAAATAAATTTGGTATCTATCTTATATAGTATAGTGAAGTATATCAGCTACATCAAACTGTTAAGTGTTAAAGTAAAATGAGAGGGCTGGGAAGGTGGCTCAGTGGTAGAGCGCTTGCCTTGCATGCATGAGGCCCTGGGTTCGATTCCTCAGCACCACATAAGCAGAAAAAAAAAGCTGGAAGTGGCGCTGTGGCTCAAGTGGTAGAGCACTAGCCTTGAGGTGAAGAGCTGAGGGACAGCGCTCAGGCCCAGAGTTCAGGCCCTATGACCGGAACCAAAAAAAAAAAAGTAAAATGATAAAGGAACTAGAATATATCAAAACCAATACTGAAAACAGCTTACTTTTCAAGTAAACTAATTAGCTTAAACTTTACAAAGACACATTTATTGCATTTTTAAGATTGTAAATAAAAACTTTTCCTGCTGTTTGTTAAGAACGTATCTCTCTAGTGACTCACGCCTGTAACCCTAGCTAATCAGAAGGCTGAGGTCTGAAGACTTTTATGTATTTCCTATGCCTTCTATGCTTTTAAACTTGCCTCTAATGAATACAGATCAGATCAGCTGGAAAACCAAATACAAGTTAAAAGTTAATATCCCTTACCTTGATGAAACCCCAGATTCCACCACCAGATGCTTCGTCGGGAACTCTATGAATTCTAGGATCGTCCTGCTCCTCTGGGAAAGTGATGGCTGAGGTGCTTCCCTGTGCCAGAGAAGCCATGCTGGCTTGCTGAGTAATAGGAGCCGGCAGCATACCTAATCAAAGGCATGTGTCAGTCACTCTACAAACTGTCTACAAATGACACACCACGCGAGAAGAATAACTCGAAACTGCTTTAACAACATACCTAAGCATTTCAGTATTAAATGCTGAACTCAAAGAACCACCCAAGACAATTTACAAGAGAATTTTTTTGCCCTTTCCATAGGCTATTACTCGAGTTCTAATAAAGGACACCATGCATTTATATATGGGATATTACACAAACATACACTTTCACTGTGATGAAAAGTTACACACTTGTGGCCTTTGCCATAAGCTGCATGCCTGTGTAAATACACCAAAACTACTGAATTGTACAAGTTAAACTGTGGAGTTGTATGATACCTGAAATAAAGCTCAGTAAAACTGTAAAATAACAATAAACCATTACATATACAGTCACGTATTTCAGAGCGTAGCAGATGAGAATTACCCGTTACTGGAGGTGCAGAAAAGGATGGCATGAGAGGCGTCTGGGGAGCTCTTCCTGCATGCCCCCTTGTGATGTCATAGGTCGTGCCTACAGAAAACCCTGATGTCGGAGGACCGGAAGAGGGTGCAGATGGCGCAGGGCCCGGAGCGGAGGTGGAAGGCGGGAAGTAAGCTGAGGGAGGGGCGCTGAAGGCAGCAGCAGCTGGTGGAGGAGCAGAAGGGGGCACAGAGGGAACATGGGCTGGGACAGGCGCAGCTGGTGCCGCGGGCACAAAGGGCAGTGGCGCTGACGGCCGCAGAGGAGGCAGGGACGGCTGAGGAGTGGAGTGTGCCTGCGGAGGTGAGGGCTCCAGGGAGGACACACTTGGAGATGGGAAAGAACTGGCTGCAGCTGGAAAAAAAAAAGGAGAGAGGACAAAACACAAAGTTGGAAAAGGTTTTTTAAATTTGGTTTAAAAACTTCTTGCTTGCATAATTTTAAAAGACCATATCCCAAGAATTGTTTTTAAGTGCATAATTTAAGATACACATTACATACACGTGATTATAAACAACTGCAATTCTCCCAAGTGAAAGAAGCAGGAATACATCAAATCACTATAGCACTTTCATAAGAAGTCCTCTTTTTCAGTTCATTTGTTCTGATGTGTTTTAAGAAAAGCCTTTTTCATCCCTACTTTGAGCAGAAAAACCCTATGCAGTAGAGTCTCACCAAGATAGCCAGTCACAAACTTTTAAGGAGATTTTGTCATCATGAGAGAGATGACTATACTCAGCATGAATATACAGAACAAAATTCTACTTAAAGCAAAACTTTTAATAAGCAAGACTATTTTTCATACTCTTTAAATCTAACAAGTCTATTTCTCTCCACCTGACAAAGACAAGGAAAGCTTTTAAAATACATATTCCTTTACAACACTGTCTCAGAAAAGACAGCAGTGTCTCTGCCATCCTCCAGTGCAGCAGTGGGTGTTCGATGCCACGGGTACCTAGAGGAATGGACGAAGAGGACACTGCGGCCAGGCCGACAGGGTGCGGGGGCGGTGTCCCGGGGGGCGTAGTCTCTATCCCGCTCTCTTCCATCATCTTTCTCCAGTCACAGTACACTGCAAAAAAATAGGTTAAAAAAGAATGAATTTCACAAAGGAACCAATAATGTATTTATAACACTTAAAACAGCTTGCTTTGAGAACAATTAAGAGTAATCAAATGATAGGTGCCTACTTGTACTATCTATAATGCAATGTATTTCCAGATAAAGGATCTATCAAAATTCCTGATCCATCTTATGAAAATATTTAATATACAAACTATCTGTGACCTTCCATAGACATATTTCACAATTAGGAAATTACTTTATGTTAGCTGTACAATTCATTAACCAATATAGTTCAAATGGTAAACTGCCGAATTGATTTTGATCACATGAATGGCTGTGGGATTCAGTCATTATTACATTTTAGCTACTATTACATTTAAAATAAAAACATTTAATGTAACTTTGAAACTCCTTCTTTCCTCATAAAGCATTTACGTGTACTATGCCTGTTGACATTTAAATCACTATTACATTTTAGCTACTATTACATTTAAAATAAAAACATTTAATGTAACTTTGAAACTCCTTCTTTCCTCATAAAGCATTTACGTGCACTATGCCTGTTGACATTTAAATCACTATTACATTTTAGCTACTATTACATTTAAAATAAAAACATTTAATGTAACTTTGAAACTCCTTCTTTCCTCATAAAGCATTTACGTGTACTATGCCTGTTGACATTTAAAAAAATCAAAATGTGCTTCACTTGATGCGTGCATCAGTTTCTAGCTTCCTCAGTTGAAGCTCATGTAGTAACTGCTAACTAATATGCCTCAGATTTTAGAAAAGTTAGCTGTAGTACACATGCCATAGTAGGGTCCTAATATGTGATAATGGATTGAAAAACATGGGGAAACTTCCTTAAAAATTAGAAATCTTAAAACCTAGCTCTAAATATGACAAACTATTCAGTGAAGGTGAACCGCTTACAACCTCTAGAAATGCAATGGTTAACAGAAGCAAATAGTATACTTGGACTCTAGTATAGAAAACCACCAATATACAATGAGACAGATGTAATGCAGTTATGAGCGCTGAGGGTAAGAACTTAGCTGTGTGACAGGAATATGATTTTGATTGGGTCAGGAAAAGGTTCACCAAATCATAGATATATGGAGGTCTAAAGGACAAAACAAACTGAGGGCAAAGGGAGAAGATGAAGAAGGCAGCTACCAGGAAAAAAAGAAGAAAAAAAAAACAACAGAGAGAAGGTATAAATGCCATGTACGGAAGACGGAACAAGAAAACGTAAGGAGCAAGACAGAAAAGAGTTCCTATGGGGATGGAGGCAGGAGCTAGCCAGTAGGCCTAATCAGCCAGGTTAGGAGATGGGTTGCTTAAAAATAGAAAGTCACTGTAAGACCTTCAAGATAGAGGAAGCATATTGATGTCTGGTTTTGTTCTAAATTTTCTGAAATTTTAAATTCACAAAAAGATACAAAAATAGCAAAGTTAGAGAACTTTGCTATAGTCATAAAACTATCTCAGAATGATCAAATGTACAAGGCTGGCAAAAAGTACACTATTACTTGAATTTTACATGTTTTTACATGTACATGTCTATGTGCACATGCACATATATGTATAGTTCTACCATGCTTAATCATACGCACAGACTGAATATCACCATCACTATACAGAAGTGTTCCATCCCTCCAAGAAACTCCTTCCTGCTGCTCCTTTGTCATGTCCCCACCAAACATAAGCCTGAGCAACCAATCACCAATCTTGTTCTCATTTTCTCACTCTACAATGGGACATTCTGGAACCAAACAGAAAGTAACCTTTTAAGACTGGCTTTTATTCAACTAGCATAATGCCTTTGAAATTCATGCTACTTGGTAGGAGTAACAGTGGTTGACCTGTTCAAAGACAGAGGCCATTCTAGGAGGTAGTAGTGTAAGATCTTCTTAAACACAGTCAAGCTCCACTGTCTACGCAATTATGCCAGCCATGCACTTCCCCTCCCTCCCTCCACCACCCACACATCTACGTCTGTCTGCTCTTCATCATCTCAGTCTAGGCTACTGTTTCTGTAGAACTTGACATTATTGGCACCTGGGGCCAGATAACTCTGACGGGGGTGATGTGCTACGGGGGTTTTCAGCGGTATCTACAGTCTCTACTATACAGTATCCCCTGCGTGTACCAACCAAAGATGTCTACAGACATAGTCAAGAGAACCCTGAGGAACATAATTTCCCTAGGTAAGTAGAAAACTACCCTACATCTGTTGTGTCAACCCAGTGGCCTAGTCTACACACTTTGGTCAACGTATGTATTTCTGAAACACAGATGTGGGCTGTCCGTCAGCTTAGATGTCCCTGGGCAGGTGCATAGGTAAGCTGGCTGCGGGAGAGTGGGGCCATCCGTACCAATCCTGAGGCATCACAGCTGGCGAGGCTTTTAGGGAGCGAGAAGTAATACTAAGGTATCAAGCCTGAAAACACAGTGATGGAGATGGTTCGAGACCCTGAGTCCGGTCTCGGGTGAGATCTGCTCTTCCAGCCGGCTGGTGCCTTGGTCTTTTCGCTTTTAAAGAAGTGGATGGCTACTCCTGAGAAACACAGAATAAAGCTCCGGTGGGAGTTCACAGCGCTCAGGCTGCCATCACTGAGGGCCGGGGCCGGGGCCGGGGCCGGGGCCGGGGGCTGTGCCGGCCGGCCGCGCGGGGCCGGGCCCGGGCCCGGCGCCGTCCTCACCCATCCCGAATGAACTCCATCCGACAATCGCGGGCTGAAGCCGCGGCCGGCGGGGCGGAGCCGCCACGCGAGCCACGGTCACCGAGGCGGGCGGAGCTGCCACGGGCCCTCTCGGACCGACACGGTCTGAGGAAGATGCCGGGGAAATGGGGTCGAGCCGGGTCCCGGAGGAGACGGTGCACGGAGGCGGCGGGGGCCGCCGGGGGCGCGGGGCGGGCGCGGGGGCCGACCAGCCCGGGTCCAACCCCGGAACCCCGCAGGAGCCGGCGGCCTCCCCGGGCCCGCCACGTCCCCGGGCCCGCCACGTCCCCGGGCCGCCGCGCGCGAGGCGGGGCCGCCGCCGGGCAAAGTCCAGGCCGGGACCGCGGGCGACGGGCGGCGGCGGCGGGAGTCACCGCCCGCGCCGCGCCAGTCCTGCCCGGAGCCCCGCACGGAGCCCGCACCGCGCGCGCGGACCCCGCCGCGGGAGGCCGGCGCCGACCCCGGGCCCGCCCCCGGCAGGGACGCGTCCCCCCCCCCCCCCCCCGGCCCCGCGCCGGCGCCCGCGGGCACGCGCGCCGCAGCCAGGCCGGAACTCACCTGGGCGCCGCAGCGAGGTCCTGCGTGGCGGCTGCACACCGGGAGGCCGGGAAGAACGGAGAGGTTCGGCGTGCGGGACGAGCGTTCCGCGAGCACACGGAAGGTACCGGCCAACGCTCACCTCCGCGCCGCCCCGCCCCCAAGATGGCTGCCGCGGCGCCCGGCCCCGCCAGTGCCACGTCGACGCGCCGCGCGCCGCCCGCCTCGCCCCGCCCCGTCCGTCTCCGCCCCGCCCAGCGCACACCACACCGCCCAGCCCCGCCCCACGCGCTCCACACTGCCCCGCCCCGTCCCTCTGCCCCGCCCAGCGCGCACCACAACGCCCCGCCCAGTCCCTCGGCCCCGCCCAGTGCGCACCACTCCGCCCCGCCCAGTCCCTCGGCCCCGCCCATTCCAGCCCCGCCCTCTCCCTCTACCCCGCCCAGAGCGCACCACACAGCCCCGCCCAGTCCCTCGGCCCCACCCAGCGCGCACCATACCGTCCCGCCCAACCCCTCGGCCCCGCCCAGTCCCCTTGGGCCCCGCCCAGCGCGCGCCACACCGCCCCGCCCACTGGGTTCCTGAGGTTAGACTTGTGCTGTCCGCAGAGGTGTAGGGACCAACCAGGTTGGGCTCTGCCCAGCGCCCCCCTGTCCGGGCCCGGCCGCCCCGCGGGACACGTCCTCCACGTCGCCTCGGCCCCTCCGCAGGCCCGAGCTCCCCGAGTTTTTTTGTTTGTTTTTTTTGTTTGTTTTTTTTTTTGGTTGGCCCTGGGGCTTGAACTCTGGGCCTGGGCGCTGTCTCTCAGCTCTTCAGCTCAAGCCGAGCGCTCTACCACTTGAGCCACAGCACCACTTCCGAAAAATCTATTTTTAAAGTTTTGCTTTGTTTTTTTTTTTTTTGTTGTTGGTCGTGGGGCTTAAACTCTAGGCCTGGGCGCTGTCCCTCAGCTCTTCAGCTCAAGGCGATTGCTCTACCACTTGAGCCACAGCGCCACTTAGGGCTTTTTCTGCTTATGTGGTGCTGAGGAATCGAACCCAGGGCCTCATGCATGCAAGGCAAGCACTCTACCACTGAGCCACCTTCCCAGTCCGGAGCTCCCCGAGAAGCACGGTTGCCTCGGGAGACGGCTGCGGGAGCAGGTGTCCTTTTGTCCTAGTAAACGTTATTACGCGTACTTTTAAACTGAGAACAATCAATCAATACACGCAAACAAAGAGGATCAACTTTAATACCCATAGATTCTGCACCTGAAGCAGTGCCTGAAACAGCTGGTGTGCAATAAGAGCGTGCGCGCGCGCGTGTGTGTGTGTGTGTGTGTGTGTGTGTAAGAGTGAGTGAAATGCAGTGGAGAAAACATAAGGAATTTGAAATCTGAATTCTTGAGTCTGGACTATCCAAAGGCCAGTTGGGCCGTAGTCCTTGTACAGGTAATTTAGTCTCCTGATTTCCACCTGAAAAAATGAAGGTAATTTTCTCTGTCATCCCTAATTCATCCAGGGAAAAGAGGCACCTAAAATAAGGTACATGAAAGCCTTTTTAAAACAGCTTAGCATGGCCGGGCACTGGTGGCTCACCCCTGTAATTCGAGCTACTCAGGAGGCTGAGATCTGAGGATCAGAGTTCAAAGCCAGCCTGGGCAGGAAAATCCATGAAACCTATCTCCAGTGAACCACCAGAAAAAAAAAAAAGTGGAGCTGTGACTTAAAGTGCTAGCCTTGAGATAGTAAAAGAGCTCAGGGATAGTGCTCAGGCCGTGAGTTCAAGTCCTATAACTGACACACACATAAAGAGAGAGAGAGAGACAGAGACAGAGAGAGGAGAGAGAGGAAAAGAAAAGAAAAAAAACATGAAAAAGAGTAGCTTTGGTTCAGTTTTCATATTCATTGATTCAGGAAAGTATATATAGTTTTAATATTAGTATATCTCCTGAATTTGTCAACCATAAGCACTGAAAAATACCTTGCTGAAAACTAATAGTATTTAACAATTCTAGCTGCAGATAGAGCTTTGCAGCCACGTGGGTTGTTCCCTTTGGTGGCAACTCCTAAGCACAGAGAACAAGTGTAGGTGGCCTCCTCCTGGATTACTCTCTGTTCAGTAAGTGCTGTTTGGGGTGGTGCTGAAAGTAGATACTATCTGCATCCCCTTTGGTCCACACCCTTAATGACAATAAGGTGTTTTTGTTTCTTCATTCATGCAACAAACATTTATTAGTGTCTGTAGCATGCTGAACACTGGTACTAGAAATGCTATAAAGAACAGGATAGACAAGATCTTGACACTTAGGTATGTATGCATTATGCCCATCTTTGGTCCTCAGTTCCACCCAGACCTCAGCTCCTCCCTGCCCTGGAGTTCTTCCCCTCTTTCCACCCAGACCCACCTGAGCTCCCATCTACCTCACTTCCTACCCCCCAGACCTTGCTGCTACCTAGATAGTGGAGGCTGTCACGTGCTCACTCTAGGGAAAATATGGCTCCTCTAATAAACCTTGTAATCATCTTTGTCCTGTGCCTGCCTGCCTCCACATGGTCCCCTGGGGTGGATGTGGTGGATCCTTTCAAGGTAGCTTTCCTCTTAATAGGACAGAGGCTACGAAAAAGCAAATAAACAAGGAAAGACAAGAGAATGATGTGACAGTAATTCTAGTCAGCCAATTTGGATAGGATGAGCCGGCCAGGTCTTCTCTGCAGAGGCAAGAGCTGGGCTAAGATCATGCGGCAGGCTGTGATTTTCTGGACTGAAGGAAGAGTGTGCAAAGTGTTGTGGAAGATGTGTGTTTGGCACAAATGCAGACCAGGAAGCAAATGAATGAGTAGTAAAAAATGAGGGGAGATTCAGCACAGGTGGCTTTCTACCTGTCATCCTAGCTATTCAGGAGGCTGAGATGTGAGGGTTGTGGTTCAAAGCCAGCCCAGGCAGGAACATACATGAGACTCTTACCCAATGAACCATCAAAAAGCTAGAAGTGGAGCTGTAACTCAAGTGGTAGAGCACTAGCCCTGAGCATAAAAGCTCAGGAACAACTTTCAGGACCTGAATTCAAACCCCAGGACACACACACACACACACACAATGAGGGCAGAAACTTAGCAGAGGCCTGGTAAGATCTAGCCTTGTAGGCATGACAAAGACTTTGGATTCCATTCTGCGGGAAATGAGAAGTAGCATGTGGCAGTGGGGAGGGAGGGAGACTGACACCTGACTTTGACTTTAGTTTTCGATCATAGTTTAACTTCTGTCTGCCTGTAGCACCTGCAGGGACAAAACAAGAATGACCAATACTGAGATGATGGAATTTTGTTTTGTTTTGTTTTTATTGTGAAAATGCCATACAGCTGGGCTACAATTACATGGGCAAAGTAATGAGTACATTTCTTATCAAGCATTGTTGCCTCCTCCTTTGTTTCCCCTTCCCATCCCTTCCCATCTCCCACCTGCCCCCAACCTCCCACCCCTCCACCCCCGACTAAAGTTGTAAAGTTCGTTTTTCGACATAACAACTTGTACATCTCATTGCTGCAATGGGTCCACCTGTATCCCTATTTAAACGATTTGTTTTTTCCCTTCCCTTCCACAAATTATACCAACATCAAATACAGTGAAAGCAGGGGTATGATGGAAGCGTTGAGCCGTGAACAGGGTGGAGATGATATTATTACAACAAATTGTATAAAAATTGTATAAAAACAGAAATCCATGCTTTCACAGTTCCAGAAGCCAGTAGTCAAAGATCAAATTGCCAGTAGGGCCTCTCCGAAGACTCTAAGGGAGAATTCTCCGGCCCCTATTCCTGCTTCCAGTGCCTCAAAAGCTCCTTAGCTTGGTTCAGATATCCCCTGCTTTTCTCCTAATAAATGTGTGTCTGTGATCACATTTAGAGTCTAACCTAAATCCAAATTTATCTCATCACAAGACACTTTAAAAGAACAGAATTCCAAGTAGGGCACATTCAACAGTTCAGATAGACTTTTCTTTGTTAGGGACTAA